GACGAAGGACCTGAGCAGCGGGATCCGAGGGCTCAGCAGAAAGGGCTGCGAACAGCAGAGGCAGCAGCAGCAGCCTTGGCCTTTGAGTCCGTTTGTGTGTGTGTTGTGCGAGAGCGTGAGACCTGAGAGAGGCTGACGCTGGGAAGATAAACATTGCTGTGGTGGGTCTAAATGCGTTTTCTCGAAAGAGCAAAGGCGTTGAAAGCTGTTTGGAGCCGTGGCTGGCCTGTGCGCGCCGTGTTTTGTGTGGCTGGGAGCTGAGGAGGGAGGCAGCAGTGGTGCCTGAAGTGAACTTAGTTCTGCTGCTATGAGTACTCGTCTTTTCCACATTTAATTTCTAGTTGAAACTTTTTGTTAAGGCAAGCCATTGCACAGGAAAGTGAAGCATAGAAAAATCTAAGAGCGTTGTGCTTAATAAACTGATAATTAGTTTTAGTGTCATCGAATATAAGATGCTATTTTCTGCTGTAATATTGAGTGTCATTAGTGCTCTCCTAGGCTCTCATTGAACCATAGTTAAATGGTATAATGATGAACTTGAAAACTTAAACTTGTATATGTCTTTTTTTCTTTTTCTGTCTCATAAAGTTACTTTTTAGATTAATATCTGCCTGGTAAGTACCTCGTTCCTTCATGGTTGTGTGTCAGGCTGCAGAGTTGGTATGGATGTCATATCACTAAAGAGTTTCAGGGGTGTGGACAAATGTCATTTTGAACCTAGTCTGTGGTACCTAAGAGTTCTAAATACAGAGCAATGAGACTTCTGGTATATATATATTCCAGTGCATGGGGCTAATTTACAAATATTACTGAATTATCCTCTGTTATTAGTTGATTGTACTAAGATATTTATACTATGAGCATTTGAAGTCTGTAGGAAGAAACCTGCACTTATAATGTTCCTGCTGGTGTTCAAACCAGAAGTGGACTTTAAGTGACATGGGAAGTTTAACATAGCAAGCTTTCAATAGAGCTAGAATAGGCATGACTTAATGTTAAGCCAAGTGAATGCCATTGGGATTTTACTTCTCAGGATTCCTTTTCCATCTTCCTCTCTCTCTGAACTGGATATTAGAGATCAGAATCGTGGAAATGGCAGCAGTTGACTTGCATGAGTTATGTGACAGGCTTGCTCTGCATATTTTCCAGTCAGAAGTTTGTAGTAATTAGCATCAAGGCATAACTTTCTGTGGGGACTCAGTTACTGTGAATAAAAATTTGAAGAGGAAAGTAAGTGATATTAGAGGATAATTTCAAGCAGGTGTTAAGATAGTGCTCAAAGTTCAGTGGGATTTTGTATCCCACTATTTTAAACTGGTTGATGACAGTGGCTTCAATGCCTCCATTGCTGGCAATGAATGTTACTTGAGGAAAATCCAGCTCCTAGTATGAAAGGATTAACATAATGTAATGTGAGAATAAAGATTTCTACTGGTTAGACTTCCTCTCGCTCCTTAATATATGTGCATTGGACATGATCAAGTTACATATTTAGAGGATTAAAATACACAGCTCATTCCGCTTTGGGACAAGAATCTAATTACTGTGTTCTGCTGATTTTATTTTTTAAGAAAGGAAAACTGTTGTAAAATCTATTCAAAAATAGGATGGAAAGATTTGCTTTGTGAACAGCTTATGAGTGATTCTCTAGAACTTGTGTAAGGAGGAGAAAAAGGGCTTCCTGCAATAGCTTTGATCTCAATCTGTGTTCTTTTTTAACTTGAGAACATGCTTGGCTAAAAAGCTTCTAGCTGTCTGAAGCTTTCCCTTTTTACATACTTGGTATATATTTTATAAAATAGCATATGTTAAGATTTTATTGCGGAAATTACTTGGCTGTGGTGGTTGGTAGTTCTGCTGAGCTGTAATATGGAGAATGGCTTTCTCTTGGTCAAACTGATTAGTTGGTTGGATGTACTTGAATGCCAATCCTTCCTTCCCAGAAAAGGAGGGGAGCAAAGAAGTAACGATACTATGATTTCATGATAACAACTGAGAAGTTTTTTTTGGCTTCTCAGTTATGTTTAAGTGTGCTTTTTATCTTAGAAGTTGCATTCTATATTGTCTCGGTACTGCTTTATTGAACTATGTTATGTATTTGTGTTGATACGTCAGATGATGAACCA